TCGAGTGTCTGTTCCTCCTCCCCCCCCCCTTCCCGCTTGTCCCCGACCATGGCGACGATCTTCGAGATTCAGCGCCAGTGCCTCGAGGAAATCGACCGCCTCGAGCAGCTGATCGTCGACGAGCTGGCCTTCCCGGCTAGCACGGTGCGTTTGCCCCGGCCCACGGCCTCCTGCCTCGCGATACCGGCCACTGACCCCGGCATCTTGCCTGCGCGCGCCAGCACGAGGAGCAGCTTCTGAAGAACACCCGCGTGGCCAAGTTCGCCCAGATGGCCCAGGAGCAGAGCAACCTCCTGCTGCACTACTTCAAGGACGCCGATGGGTGCGCTCGCCGGGCGATCAAGCACCGTTGCATTTGCCTTTGCCTGCCTGTCCTCCTGGCTCCTTTTCTTCTTTTCTTTTTTTTTCTCTTTGCTGCACCCCTCTGCCGCCCTCGCTGACATGGCATAATCCCATACCCGGGGCTGTGGCTGTAGCATGCGCCTCGAGGAGACCGAGCAGATGGCCGGCGGGGCCGACTCCGCGCAGGGGGCCCTGGACGAGTTCTACCGCCAGATGCGGCAGATCGAAGATCAGCACAGCCTGGCCGCGGTGCCGAATGCTCTGGCCGAGTCGCCGGCGGCCCGCTTCACCGAGCTGGCCGCCACCCGGGAGAAGGACATGAATGGTGCGTCTGGCTGGCAAGCGAGGCACCCTTGCCTTTGCCACCCGTTCCCTGACTATGTGCCCATGAGGAAGGGGGTAAGGGGGGGGGGGGGGGATGGTCACACGTACACACGTACACACGTACACACGTACATACACACACACACACACACACATACATACGCGCCTTCCCCATTGACTGAAACCCTCCCCTGCCCGCGACAGACATCATTCATTCGTTCACCGGCGAGGAAGGCCTGGCCCGGTATCTGGATCTGACCAAGCTCCACAGCATGTACCTGAACTTGGACTTTGTTCGGGAGCAGATGACGACCGATCGGCCGGCCTACCTGACCTACGTGCAGTACCTGGCCGAGTTCGATGCCTTCCCGGACATCCCGCGCGCCGGGAAGAATGCCGCCTATGCGGAGTATGTGCGAGAGCTTGGGGACTATTTGGAGTCCTTCTTCCGCCGGGCCCATCCGCTGGTGAATGTGAGCGCGCATTTGCGGTCGGCCGATGAGGCCTTCGCTGTGGCCTGGTCACAGGGTGCGGCCCCGGGCTGGCCGCGTCTGGACGAGGACGAGCAGGCGCCCGGGCCGGCCGGCAGCGCGGCCCCGGCCCCGGAGGAAGTGGCTGCGGCCCAGGCCCGGCAGTCCTACTGTGACCTGTGTCGCGTGGTGTGCGACAGCCCGGCCGGCTTGCAAAAGCACTCCCGCGGGACCAAGCATCGGAATGCGGCTCGTCGGGAGGAGCGCGAGCGCGAGTGTGCCCGCCTGGAGGCGCGCGTCACCTTGCTAGCCCAGCTGCTTGGGCAGGTTCGGTATGTTGCCATGTGTGCTGTTGCTGGGGAGTTGCTTTTGCCATTTTATGTTGCTGCTGGTGGAACTTCACTTTCGGCTTTGCTGACGCAAATGGTGGCTGTGTGAATGGGATGGCGGCACCCATTCGCTTTTTCTCCCTCTCCTGCCTCTCAGCGACCAGACTCGCGAGAATGTCGAGCGCAAGCAGACCCGCACGCTGGCCGAGCGCGAGCTGGAGGCCGAGCGCGCGGCGCAGGATGCCGTCGCTGCCGGGCAGGCCACCGCCGCCACTGCTCTGGGAGCGGGTGGATCGCGTGCCCGCCGGCCGGGCGCCACCGACGCCGGTGCCTCGGACGACGAGGACGAGCACAAGCCCATCTACAACCCGCTCAACCTGCCGCTTGACTGGGATGGCCGGCCGATCCCGGTGTGGCTGTACCGCCTGCATGGGTTGGGCGTGTCGGTGCGTGGCCTTCTCTCCGTCCCCCTCTCCCTCTCCCTCTCTCTTTCTTGTCACTCATTTGGCCCTTTGTCCGGGAGAAGGGTATAATCCCGTTACTGACCGTGTGCTCCTCCTCGATCTTTGGACTTTCGGGGGAAATGCCTGTCTTCTCCTCCGTGTGTATGTTTGTGTGTGTGTGTGTGTGCTGTGTGCTGCCTGTCGGTGCCGGGTGTATATCATCACAGTACGAGTGCGAGATCTGCGGCGACTTTTCCTACCGCGGCCGGCGGAACTTCGAGCGGCACTTCATGGTTCGTTGGATGATGTGTCTTTCGCCCCCTCCTGCTTGTTGGCCAGGCACACCATGTTGCTGACATTTGCTCGTACCCAGGACTGGCGCCACACCCAGCGGCTCAAGTGCCTGGGCATCACCAACTCCAAGGAGTTCATCGATGTCACCAAGATCGCCGACGCTCAAGCCCGTACGTGTTGGCTCTCGAGATATTTGTTGCTTCGTGCCTCTCCGAGGGCAGGCGTAGGGGCGTGGAGATCCGTACCATGTTTCACTCTCTCTCTCTCACACACACACACACACACACACACACGAACGCACAATACCTGCCCTCGCAGTCTGGAAGAAGATCCAGCAGTCTCGGCAGCTGTCGTCCTTCCGCGCGGAGCACGACGAAGAATTCGAGGACTCTCGCGGCTACGTGCTCAACCGCCGTACGTACGAGGATCTCCGGAGGCAGGACCTCCTGTGAGAGGAGGCGCCCGGCCGGTTGCTCCCTTTCATCAGCCCATGTGCACGCACGATGCACGCGCATCATCCACACAGTGCCGGTGTGCCTCCGCTGGAGGCCCTTTCCTCCTCCAAATGCACCTGCTCATATATGTGTCGTCGTGTGGGGTGCTTTCATGGGTATGTGCCGGCGGCAGGTCTACCAGGGCGAGGCGGGGCGAGGCGGGGCGGGCTGGAGCGGCGAGGCTCGGTGGGGCGGAGAATGATGGTGCCCTTCCCCCTTTCGTTGGCCGATCGGGAATGCCTGATAGGTGCCAGTGCACGGGGCATAATGGTCACGTTTGGGCTGCGCGTGACGAGGCCGATCGACGGCGCCGCCCCCGGGCCAGGCAGACCGACGCGAGAGGCCGGAACCGCAGAACGAACTGGGCGAGCGAGATCCGGTGCCAGGGGTGGGGGTGGGGGAGGGGGGAGCCGATTCACCCGGCTTTCGGTTTGGGCATAGGTCGGTGCGGCTTCCCGATCAGCGACCAGCCCCGGAGTGCGGGGGCGCTCAGGGAACAGCATCACCTCCTCCCTGCTCGCTCCTCCCCACTCCCCCATTCTTTGAGTCCTTTTTATCTCCGCCCCACCATGAGACAGGGCATCGGTGCCATCCGGCAGCAGCAACTCCAGCAGGTTCGCCCCCTCTTGCCCTCCCCGACACCCAGGCAGTGTGGCTGACACATCCGTCGCACCTTCGAAGGAGCAACTGAAAAAGCTCGGCGAGTCCATCAAGGCCGACAGCATCAAGGAGGTGCGTGTGACTTGGTGTGTTTGTGTGGGTGTGGGTGTGGGTGTGGGTGTGGGTGTTTGCACACACCATCCTCGGTCTAACGTGCTCTTGCCTTTGGGTACGCACACACCCACTCACGCGCACGCACATACATACGTGCATGCGTGCACGGACATCCCCATCCGCAGCTGGATGAACAGCTCCAACAATTTAAGACCCATCTGGAGGACTTCGCGCGGCGACACCACCGGGCCCTGAAGACCGACCCGCACTTCCGGTCGCGCTTCCAGGAGATGTGCTCGGCGATTGGCATTGATCCCATTTCGTGTGCGTGCCTGCTTGGGCGCTTCGCTGGCCGATGACCCTGCCTGACGTGTGTGTGTGTGTGTGTGCGCGCGTGTGCTCGGACCCCCTGCTCCCCCCCCCCCCCCAGCGAGTCGGGGCTTTTGGACGGACCTCCTGGGCATGGGCGACTTTTACTACAATCTCGGCGTGGAGGTGGTGGCTGCATGTAACAACTTGCAGAGCACCACGGGCGGCCTGGTGGCCATCGATGAGCTGGTGTCGCTGCTGCTGCCGCGCTATCAGCGTAGCGGGAACACCATCTGCGCGTGCGTATTCCTTTGGCCCTCCCTCCTGCGATCCGCGTGTTGCCTTTCTTGCCCCCCGCCCCCTTCCCTGCGCGCAGATGCATGTGTGTATGTGCGTGCCTTTTGAGCATGGCCCTGCTGATTGACATCCTTCGGGGGCGCCCGGGTTTCCCCACTCACCCAGGGATGACATTGAGCGTGCCATCAAGAGCCTCAAGTGCCTGGGTGCCGAGTATTCGATCGTCATTGTTGGTGCGTCAGGGCCCGGACCAGCTCGCGCCTGTGTCTGGCCTTCCCTTTCTCTCTCTCTCTCTCTCCCTCTTGTCTGGTCGCGCTGTGGGCCTTCAACTGATGATGCGCTGCTCTGGGTGCGGCGGCCCGGGTGTGGGCAACATGCGCGCAGGCTCGAAGAAGATGGTCCAGTCGGTCCCCCGCGAATTGGACACCGACCTGCTGGTGTTCCTCGGCCGGCTGAGCCCGTCAACCTCCTCGGAACAGCCGGTCCCCGGGGTCTGGACCGGCAAGACGCCGGACGAGCTGGCGGCGGCCCTGGCTTGGCCGATCGAGCGCGTTCTGCGGGCAGCGGTGCGCACAACCCCATCCATCATCGGCCAGGGTCGGGCGTGGCAGGGCAGTCATCGGCCGGGGCCGAGACAGTGGGCCTTTGTGTGCGCGCATGTATGTGTGTATGTGTGTGTCCCTCTGACGCCCCTGTCCTTCGCTGATCGATCACGCATTGCCGATGGCGTGCGGATGTGGATGGATGTGGGTGGATGTGTGCGCGCGGGGCATTTGGACGCACAGGAATCGGCCCTGCAGATGGGCTTGGTATGGATCGACCAGGAGGCGCCGCACGAGGCGGTTCGGTACTTCCTCCCGCGAGATCTCCAGTAGCGACGGGCTCGCGAGCGTGCGTGCGTGTGTGTGCGGTCCCCTCGCGCCCGGCTGCAGCGCCGTGGAGAGCGTCGTCATGCGGGCATGCGGAAAAAACATCCCCCACTCCGTACTGTCGATGGTGTGTTTGTGTGTGTGTTGTTGTTGTTGTTGTTGTTGTTGTTG